TATAAATGAGACTTTCCAAATCCCAGTTCACCAAAGCATGGCTGCTTTGGCATAGAGTACAGTGAACCCTCCATGCTTAGCTGGGGGGTATGGGCACCTTCTGAAGAGCTCAGGCATGGAAGGGGATGCAGTGAGCGCTGCAGCTCCGTTTGGGTTTTGCTGGACTTCCGTGATGGATACCGCTGGGGAGGTAATCACCTGGTCCCCCAGAATGGTGGTTGCACATTGCTGAAACCCAATTTTCAAATAGGAAATTGGCCTTTTATCTTTGGTACTTGCTACATAATGGTGCAGAGCAGCAGTCAGCTGAACCTCACCATTGTTTTACTGCTTGGTTGTAAATTGTAATTGGTTGACTAACCTTCTCTGATGTTAAGTGCCTTAAAAGGTTGTTTTTCCTTTATTTTAGTTTAGATTTAGTTTCTGGCTTTATGTGTTCTTTCTGTTTATTCTTCTAGTAAGATGTAATTAGAAATTAAAGAGAACAAAGTAAACCTCCAACCCTACTGATCTACATTAACATGAATCATCATCTCTTGAAAGTATGTGTAATTCAGAGCTCTGCAACTTGATATACATCCCCTTCATTTGGTAAATATTTAAAATATCTGCAGGCATTTTTTCACATTCTTGAGCAAAGACCACATTGCTGTGTGTTCGCCCTTGTGTCTTAAGTATTGATGTTTTGAAGCCAAAGCATATTTAGTTAAATCTCTTTTTCTTTTTCAATTTTTAGGGTTTATTGTACTGTATGAAAATGAACATAAAGAAAGAGAGGAAAACCTACCAATTTATTTGCCTTTTACTAATCAAAAAGAGTATATTAGAAAGAAAGTGTAAACAACTTTAAATAGTGCCAAAGGCTGTAGTCTTTGAGAACAGTTGAATTGGGAGGTTTATAAAATGAACAGAGCTGATGATGTCTGTAATAAAGTGGATTAGCTTTTACAAATTCTGTTCCGCCATGTATCTTTACATAGCTAATCTCCCATGTTTGCAGTTTCAGTCATAGGTTCTTGGGGAGCACCCAGATAGATTATAGTTCTCCAGAGTGTGTTGTAAATGGTGACACTTCCCAATAGTTTCTGAAGAAGAAAAGAAAAAATTTCATAGCTTTTCTGCTGGGTTGTATGGTACTGCACCATTAGCAATCATTAGTTCCTGTGCTCAAATAGTATATACTGGCTTCTTACTCCTTTGGTAGAAACTCTTTATCTCTGATACATCTTTCCAGCTTGGATTTCTGTTAGGTACTCCTTACAGCTTCCGTAGAGTTGCCTTTGATGAGAATAAAGCAAATTCTGAGAACAATGCTTCTTCCTACAAATTGTTTTAAGCTAAATATGTCCTGTTCTGTGGATTATGTTTTTGGAGTCATCAAGGCACCAGCTCTGATGGTGGCAGAAATGGTGGGCCCATGTGTTGGGTGATGCTGATCTCCAAGGACCATTTCTGTCAAGTAGGGTGTGCAAAGGCTGTCATGGGAGAGCAGGGTCTCTAGGCAGCACTGGCAGCTCATCAGGGTGTGTGTGCATGAGACACTCTTTGTAGGAGCTTCTTGCCCAGATCAGGGCAGCTGCACATCCCTCTTTCCCTGCCTCCAGCAACAGCAGGGGTTGTTCTCTTGGCATTTAGGGACTGGGACTTTCACAGTGGCATTCAAGATTTTCTATTTTAAGTAGATATTTACCAATAACTTGGTCTGATACTGGCACACTTGCTTATTTTGAGAAATGTTTTCTGTCCCTTTTTCTTCACCGATATGAGGTGTCCTTCCATGGAATTCCCCACTGGCTTGAAATGTCCTGCCAAACTGGGACTTTAATTCTAATTGTCGAATGATCTTCAAACTATTTTTTAGTAAAATGATGTAAATTTTTATTTGGAATAAAACTTGTTAGTGTATACACATGCAGATTTCTTAAGCAGCACAGATGATTTTTGAATACCATGAACAGTGCTTTGATTCATACTTAAGAGTAGACTAGGGTGGTGCTGACATTTTTTTAAGGAACGAAGCTTGACTTTAAAAATACGTCAAATTCAGTTGATCGTGTTCGAAACAGTCTTTGCAAGTAACGGACTTGAAAAGCCTGGGATCAGTTTCCTGCTATTCTCCAACACTTCTTGCATCTCCTTGGGGAGGCAGTTTAGGCTTTCAGTGTTCAAATCATCATCTCCAAAATGGGGATAATAAAGACTTTCCTAGTGCCTAGAAGTGTTGAGATGACAGGTCAACTGATGGATCATTTATGGATTCCAAGAGAATTTATGTTCCCCTATGTGGCTGTAAACCTCAACCTTTTCCAAAATGTAGCTACCCAGTGGGCCTCCATAGCCAGGATAGATTCAGTGGATTATGTTCTTATTATAGTGGTTTCCTATGTAAACAATTTGATTTCCAGGGCAAGTGGTGTATGCATGTGTTCATTCACTCCGATGAGATCCAAAACACTTGCCAAGTGCTTTGATCCCCTTGCCAAGAGAAGAGTTCTGTACAAGGTTGGGGCCACTTTTGGGGACACTTTGGCCAAATAGCATTGCCCCCTAATTTAGAGTAGGAGACTGAAAAGGGAATGTAATTTTGCCAACTCTAGACCATTAGGTTGGTATTATCAGCAATCTCTGCATCTCATTTCAAATCCAGTATGTTTGCCATGCTGTGGTGCTGGATCAGTAACAACTGTGAAGCATGACAATCTACATAATTTTCTGTGATTTCCAGTGAAGGTTTTTTAATTTTCCTCTCATTCAAATTGTCACCCAGCATTGCCTGCTTAGTGCCATGTTAATTGGGGTACTTCTTCCCTGACTCTTTTTGCATGAAAAAACCATGCCAGCTAGATGATATTTGTGAAGTCAATACATATAAAGTGCAGCATCTTCCTCATGAGTACAGGTGCAAGTACATGAGCCTGGAATTACTGTAGTTTAAGAAACATGACTTCATGTGCATAAGCAATATAGCTACACTCTTTTGGATCTTCCCATGTAAATAAACCTTTAGTTTGTGGTATCTGTTGGGGTAGTTGACCATTGCTTGGGTTTTCTGCATACCCCACGTTTTTCTAACTGTGAAGGATATTACTGGGCTTCATATAGAATTTGTGACAGTGTGGTATTTGGATCTACTGCTTGTAGTCACTAACAGGACTTTGGCCTGCTGCTGATTTTTTTCCCTCTGCCAGCTAGTGGGAGAATCCTAACCTTGACATTATTTATTTGGAGGCTTTTTGAGTTAATTAATTTAACTCTTCACTGCCTTTGGTCACACGGTTTTATGAGTATTTTTAATTGATCTTATTTGTATGTAAATGCAATCTAACATTAATTTAACAAGATGGATTCAAGTCAGTGGTCAACCCAGCTGTTCAGTCAAGGATATTACTCAGTGCTGTTTATTGGGTTTAATTGAAGATCATGACCACCCCAGAAACAAAAAAGGGAAAGCAGCTACTTTTTTAGTGGTGGTGAAATCCTGTATTTGTAGGCAGTTTCAGTGATGGATATTATTAGCTTGGAATTGTACTGGCCACAGCAAATAAATAGGGCTTTCTTTTCTTTCCACTGACTTTTACAAATACAAAGGGAAATGTGGAAAGGGAAAAGGGAGCTCTTAACCTGAGAATTTCAGACTATTTGAATTTAAGCAAACCACCCATTTATTCTTAGTTTAATGGCTTGCAGGCAGACTCTATCAGTTGTGGACTGTATTGTATTAATTTGCAATGGCAAGAGTTAATGCTAGTAATCACTTTTCCTCTATAGAGAGAGCCTGTAGTAGATTGTTTTTACATGGCAATCTGTGATTGATAGATCAGGGAAAACAGGACCAAAGAAGGTTACTGCCTCCCAATCACTTCCCCCTTCAAATTAAAATAATTTGCAATTTGTAGGATGCCTTGTAACACGTGCGGCAGGAATGAGGCAGTAAACACACTAGGCTGCATTCCCTTAAAGCAGTGAACCTCTTACTGCCTTTCTTTCATCAAACCAAACAAGTTATGTTGTTGGGAGTCCATTGAAAACAAGTGTGCTGGCGAAACAGCCCCCAGACCCCTTCAGCAAACTTCCTTTACGGTCAGGCAGCGGACCTGATGAAAGAGCCTGTTTGTGAACATTTGGATTCCTTCCATTGATTTGTAAATCCACTTTAATAAAGTACTGCCGAAGCTAGTGAAATGAGCAATCGAGGGCTTCCGTTAAGTTTCTAACAAATATCTGATGCAGCTTGTATCACTGGTACTGGCACATGCTTTTGAAATTGTTCTTTTCCTGATGCGTTGGATCGTTTCAAGATTGGGGGAGTAAGAGAAGTAGGGGGAAAAATGCAGTCTCCATCAGCCACACATTACATGGCTGCTTTATTTTAAAGTGCTGCTAAAACTCCTCTTATTTAATATCGATCATACCAAGGAGCCAGCAAAGTATAGTGTTAATTGGGTCCACTGGAATTCCTGTCCCCTGGGAGAGAGAGCTTCCTAGGCAGGGAGGGCGGAGGGAAGGAGGGAGGGAGGGAGGGAAGGAGAGAGGCAGGCAGGGAGGAGGGGACCCACTGTGTGCCGCATAAAATGTAAGTGCACTAGACATCAAGGCTTCTGCTTGCATCGCTGGGAAGCAGTCGCGGCGGTTCCCACCCGCTCCCCCTTTCAGAAATTAGCCAACTCTTTTTTATTTTATTTTTTTTTAAAGTCTGGCAGTTCTTCTTGAATTAACAGCTCCTTTCTTTTCATTTTCCTTCCTCTTTCTTTTTTTTCCTCTTTGCGGACGGCTGTTTTTTTATTATTTGAATTGTTTTCCTCTCCTTTCTGCAAAGCTGCAAAAGCTCTGCTTTGAAAACTGCTGCCCCAGAGTGCAGTTGCTTAGCTGTCCTGTCAGCATTGTTCTAATGCTCATTCCATATGTATGTCACATAGGAGCAGTACCCTCCTCCTCTCCCTTCCCCCATCCATGCATTTGATTTTTTTTCCCCTAAAGATTGAAATTTTTTTCTTATTTTTCCCAAGGAGCTTGCAAACAGGGAAATTCAAACTGAATGCTTCTCTGTTGTGGTTACTTATACAGCCGAGACCACATTTCTCTTAGAAAAAGTGTTTGCTCTGTTCCTTCTTTTCTCCACTCCCTCTTTTTCTTCCCTATAAGCACAAAGGTTTTAAAAACTAAGATCTATAGTTCTTTTTGCTTTTTTTTGCGTTACCGTGACAGCATGTATCTCTGTTGCTGAAGAATGAAGCAGGCAGGCTGGAGGTTTTTTATGTTCAATGCTTTTGGGACCACTAAAAAGAAGTCCACAGAGAAATACGTACAGCAACTGTGCCGACTGAGTTTCTCATCACTGTTAACTGTCACTTATTCTGACTAAAAGGTAAGGGATTCTTTAGTATTTTTTTAAAGTCTTTGTGCATTGTTTGTGCATTGTCTTTTGACATGTGCAACTCACTGGCTCAGGAGAGAGATGGGTTGTAAAGATTTTTGTGTTAAGGTAGTATAGGTCACCCAAGCAAAGCTCTTTGCATCCACAGGAGAAAAAAAATCTTGTTTCTTGGAATTGTTTCCCTTTTCATCTCAGATGGTTCCCTCAGCTTAGCTCGCTACTGATTGAGACGTAAAGCTGGGGCATTATCGCTGCTGCTTATCTTTTCTGGTCCTCTTTCTCTACCTAGGAAGTACACGCACCCAGTTTGTGTGTGCGTGCGCATATGTGGGGCAGAGCATATCCCCTTTGCATAGGAAATACTTGGCAACATGCATATTCTCCTCTTTTACTGTGACTAAATGTCTTCAAGCACTCTTCACAAGGTAAGAATGCCTTAGTTCAGCACACTGCAGCTTATGCCTGTTTAAAATTATTACTTGGATTACAATGCATACTGTGGAAAGTTATTAGTTTCCACAGAGACCAATTTAATTGGGGGGTATGTGTGCAGCGGTTCTGTTTTGTGCTTTCCATACACTGCTTATGGGGGAGTATGAAATGTTATTTTCTTCTTAATTCTTGGGAAGGGTGAAGTTTACACTGTCTGTTAGGCAGAGCAAATGAAGTTATAGCTGAAATCGATTAAAGCTGTGGAGAAGCATAGCCTTACAAGGCTCTTCAACTTAGCCTGAGAGTCAGAAGATAGTTCATTAAAATATTTTTTGCGCTCCATTGTAATATGCAAAATTATAAGCAGAAAGGCATCTTCACCAAGCAGAAGTAGCAGCAAATGATGCCTGGGCTGGATCATTATATTATTTATGTGTTAGAAACCTGTTTAATCCACAACCTTGGTGCGCTCTGCTTTTTTTGTGCGTGTGCTGGATGCATCTTGCAACAGCCTCTTAGTTCAAGAGGGCATTGTTTTATGAAATGTGTTAATGTGTTTCTGCTTTGCAGGCAGGAGAAGTGCTCTCTGTGACTGTCCTTTAGCTGTGACACAATCCGTTATTTGCTATTTTGGACAAAGCTGTTTTTTAGGGCTTGCTTTGCTTTCTTTTGCAGATATTGTGTTCTTACTTCTTAGCAGTTAGTTCTCTGCATAGAAAATGCATCTTAAGGGTACTCATTTCTCATGCTTTGCAATGATCAGTAGCTGAGACAGTTCAGCGACCTCATTTAATGGTATTGCTTTACCTGGAATGTTGCATTTGCTTATTTGAATAACCAGGAATACCACCAAGTATGTAATTACTTTTAAAACAATCTAAAAATACAAAATGTGAAGAAAGAGAGAAGTCCTGTCTGCAGGCATTAATTTCTTTCTTTACTGTAGCTGTTTGTAATGTCATTTCAAAATCAGATATTTCCTAACTCATGTTCTGTAATTCTATTTTCCCGTGATTGTTGCTTTCTATTAGCACTGAGAAAACAGTCATTTAGATAACAGGTTTTCATTGACATCCTTTTTATATTATAGAAAGGAAGAAGCAGTAATAAGTTAAATTGGCATCTGCTAATTATGCTGAATACAGATTGTGAGCTCTTCAAGTCGTCCTTTGCCTTAATGCTGTTAGCATATTTTAGCACTGGCAACCAAAGGAAAGAAACTGGAATGTTCCTGCTTGGGTTTTTTTAGGCGGGGGGGAAAGATAAAAGATTACTTGTGAAGAAATGTGAAGTTTTGGGGTTTTTTAATGTTTGTATGCTTGTTGTGAACAGAAGAGCATCACACGCAGTTTCATAGCACTTGGTAAAACTGAGATCCCTGAGAAACTGACCTGTCTGGTGATCACTAGAATTTATTTTGAGCCTTGGAGATAAAGCTGTTGTTGTCCAATATAAAAGTTTGGGCAGAAAAAAGTTTGAGTGTTTGTAGCCACAACTACCTGATTCTTTTGGATCTCTGAGAACTAACTAAAAATACAACTGTATTCTGAACTTAGCTGTGGTTCTTCATACTGTATTGCAATTTTGCTCACCTCATCTGAAAACTAGGAGTCTTGGGCTTCCAGGGAAGCAGAAAAGCTGTGCTTCTGCCCAGATGTGCTCGGTTCTGCGTCGTGCGTTTTCCCTGTGCAGCAGTATCCCTGCCTGGCCGTGGCACTCAGCCCAGTCTCGGAGAAGGAGCAGCTCAGGTTGGGATGGCTTTGCCAGGGGACACGCTCCATCCAGCGCCTGGCCGCTGGCAGCGGCAGTACGACACGGGAGCGGGGGCCGTGGGTCAGCCACTAGAGGGGAGGCGAGAGCTGCGTTATCCCAGTGTCTGACTCCACGGAGGGGAGTACCCGGTACGGGATCGCCTACACATGGGCTCGCACTGAGCAGTGGATATAGCCAACCTAATCTAGATCCTCAGGATGCTGGGAACATCCAGCGGTGCTCGCGTGGGGCATAGCATGGACCGATAGAGGTGCTCTTCCCAAGGAACATCCAGCTTCTGGAGCGAATTGTGTCGTGAGACAAGTTTAGATGCAGCAGAAACGTGGCCCACGCTTTGTCTGTGCTGGGCAGGTCTGTGGTTTTCTGCATGTGGATCTGCCCAAGCGCCGCTGTGCACAACCTTCCTCTCACCTGGCTTAAGCCTGGAGAAAAGAGACTGAGGGGAGACCCTGTAGAGTCTACAGCTTCCTCATGAGAGGAAGCGGAGGGCCAGGCACAAATCTCTTGTCTGTGGTGACCAGTAACAAGACCCAAGGGAATGGCCTCAAGTTGTGTCAGGGGAAGTGTAGGTTGGATATTAGGAAGAGGTACTTCACACAGAGGGTGGTTGGGCACCGTAACAGGCTCCCAAGGGAAGTGGTCACAGCCTGACAGAGTTCAAGAAATGTTTGGACAACTCTGTCAGGCACATGGTGTGGCTCTTGGGACTGTCCTGTGCAGGGCCAAGAGCTGGACTCAGTGATCCTTGTGAGTTCCTTCCAACTCAGAATATTAAATGATTCTATGATTTTTACCAGTAATGATGATTTGGCACATAGATTTACCATAAGTTGTTTCATTCTTCTGTAGAGGGTAGGTATCTTGAACTTAAAGCATTGCTCTCCTTGATGGGAATGAGCACACTGGGAAATGGCCTGTGTGGAGAGGTGCAGGGCTGAGTGGAAATAGGAGAGCTCCCAGCCAGTGAGACCTCCAGGTCAAGGTGAGGTTGCTTGGGGATGGATGGGCAGTGCAGGAACTGTGTGCTTTGCATATTGCTGTGGTGTGTCATGGCAGTGCTGTACCTCTTGTCTTCATATGAGCCTAATCTTGCTAAAAGTCGTGTCAGAATCTTTTTAATAAGACATTATGATTTTGGCTTTAATTTGGGGTTTTCTTGCTCTCTTACTCGCATGTGTGAAATGCAAAGCATATTTAATGAGTGAATACTTCAAATGCTTCCAAATTAATTAAAAACAGTTCCACATCTGGAATAAATCCAGTACCTTTCATGGATGGCTTCAACTTCACGGTTTTTCTCTCTTGTGAGAAGCCCTGTGAATATTCCCTTGCAGATGCTTGTGAAAGCTGGAGTAGCAGAATCCAGGCTTATTTTACAAAAGAAAGAGATCTGAAACCCACAGAGATCAATGGGATCTTGGCCTTTATTCCAGCAGACTTTGGATAAGACCTAATAATATATATATAATTATACAATATGATAGGTCTGCTCGGTCAGGTATTTTCAGGGTACCCTGTCATGAAGGTAACTGTGCAAATCTTGATTAAAATTTGTTGTTTTTTGTGGTTCAACTGCTGTTTAAATTCATGTGGATTCAGTGGGGCTTGAATTAGGCACCACAAACAAAAAAAGTGTTTTTATAATGAGAGTTTTTTTTTTTCTTCTGCCTCCTCTGTTCCCAGAAATAAAAAAATGATCTGTTTTTTTGCTATGGGAATGTTGTGATTTAAACTGACACAACTAAGTGACCTAAAGATAGGCTTATTGCTTAGATAAAAAATGCAGGGTTGGGTTGTTTGAACTGCATTAGCATCAGAATAAGAAATGGCAGGGCAAGTTGACCAAGGTGGCCCTGCAGAACTGGGGAGGGTTGTTCTCTGGAAAACCTCTGAGCTGGGAATTCTTTTCTAAACCATAAATAAATAAATCTGTGTCCTGAACACTTAATGAATACAGAAGTCTGGGCAACTTTAGGCTGTTGGGGATATTTTACAAACCCACATGATGCTTTTTTTGTTAATATTGTCGATTTCCATTTTCCCCCCTAATATTTCCATTTCAAGGTGAGGGTTTTCTTCTACTTGCTTTATTTATGCTGAAGGTGCTGAGGATAATGTTTTTGCCAACACTTTTCTGTAAAACCGCTGTTAAGTCTCACATCAGTTTCACTATGTGTTGCACCAAAATGCTGCCCCTGAAACTTCGGATCTTGGAGCTACAGATTGGGATTGCAGGCAGTTTAATTCTTCAAGTACCTTGTCTTTGGAGTTGTCCTTTGGCTGCTTGGGCTGGATCCTCTGAGGATTCCAATAAAATTATCTTGCAGGGATCCTACTATGAATGCATATACAGCTTTTCCCGGGGATCTCAGTGTGTTTTACAGACCACAACTAATTGAACCTCATGACATTCATGGCAGGCAGATAAGCATGAACCACAGTAAGTAAGCTAAAACAGAAAGAGGTGAAGAGCTCAAGTTTCCCATGGTAGTGAACAGTGACATTACTGTTGGATTGAGCTATAGATGCCATGTACCTCTGAAAATGAGGCTGCTGGTGAGTTGACTGGAAAAGATACTCTTTTGGTAGTGAATTTTGTGGAGGGAGTTAATATCCGTGGTTTTGCATCCAGCGCCAGCCGGTTAGAAATCGAATTAGTTCAAAACCCCGTCAACATTTCCTTATGAGTCTGCATAAGCAGCATTATCTTGGGAAGTTATTGAAATGTCCCCTTGCCCTACTAAACTGGACTTTTCAGAATTAACCTACCTTAGTTGGAATTATAA